TCTTGGCTGCTTCTCACTTTATGTCAAAGACTTGAGAGAACATTACCAAGGCCCTCACTCTTTCCTATATGCCCATATCTCCAAATTGTTCATTTCCTTCTAGCATTAGTCACATTTTTGTTACTGGGACAAATTGTATGACATGCGTAAGTAATTTAAAGGAAGAAAGTTTTATTTAGGCTCAAGATTTCATAGCTCCAAGTCTGCATTCAGTGGGCATCACTGCTTTCCAGCCGGTGGCATAGCAGAAACATCATGGAGAAGGACATTGCAGGGGAAAGCTGTTCATCTCATGGCAGACCAGAAGCAGAGAGAGGGAAAGAGCCTGATAAAAGTTAAACACTTCTTAGTCACATCCACTCCCTGTGACCTACTTCCTCCAATTAGGCACCACCTCCTAATAGCCCTTTCAGCTATGAACTTACCAGTGTGTCAGCTGATAAGTCAAAGCCCTAGTGCTCCAGTCACTTTCTGAGACTTTGGGGAGATATTTTAGATCAATACCATAACACTTCTATGACCGTGGTTTTGTTACTTGTTTGTCTACCACTGTGGACACCAGGTGGTGGTTATTTCTCTCTCTTCTATCCTCTTCCTAGACGTGATTTCATTTTGACTCAGGAATATCACTGATGATATTCCTAATTCTTCTCTCCCTTTCCACCATTGCTGCAGAAAGATTAAAATATGAAGCAAAGTGATGCAGTTAGTAGCTCATATTGTCAGTGTTTCAGTCACTTTTATCTGTGGACATTTGGAGTTTATCAGAATTGTTTATATTTTATGAAAGGTAAATTACTAGTTTAATTATTCATCAGAAAAGTATAATATTCATTGACTGCATTTTTGGAGTTACATTGTCATGTATAATATTTTCAGCAGAAAACAGTTTCATCTTTTATGGTGGAAATTTTGTAAAAGGAAAATAGATTGACTTTCATGGATTTATAAAACACTTTTAATAAAAGTCCACTTAACCATTAGGAATATTTTTGGCTTTAAAAACAGAGAAGTGAAGAGAAAGTATAGCTGATTGTTACTGTTGAGTCAGCAGCTTAATGATAGGAAAAGCCTCTAAGATTATCTCAGGCTTTTTTTGTTGTGATCAAGTGGTGGCTGCTACAGATCCAGTCATAACATATGCATTGATAGAAGGTGGAGCATTTATAGCAGGAACATAGCCTAGTGTTGCATTTCCATGTACCTTGGCTTCCTGAGTCCAAAGAGTGGGAAACTGGATTTATTAGTTTAGCTAATATTTAGTAGCATTGATCTTAGATGGTAAGATGTTTTGATGCAGAGATGATAGAAATGAGAAGAGGACAGGTATTGCAAGCATGTGAACTGTGTAGGCACAGCTTTGCTGGAGAAGAGGATAGGAGGTTTTAGCCAAGTTGAAACTTTGGCTTAAAGGAGTCAGCAGTTGGTTGAGAGAGGGACCAAGGTGCTGCTCACAGAACAGAGAGGAGTAGGTGTATCAGTTAATGCTTGCTAGACAAATATTTAATGCAAGATATACAGATACATAAGAATTTAAGAATATGTAAGATTGGCTTATAATGACCACCTACAGAGTCAGGTATAGAAGAGTACAAAAGGGCTGTCTGTGAGCTGCAGAGCTGAAGGATCCAGTCAAGGGCCTGGATCTCACTGTAGTGTCCTGTGCAAGTCTGTATCAGGAGGCTGAAGGATCTGCAGTAGAGAGTAAAAGCTTTGTGCTGGAAGCTGAAGAATCTGCACTGGAAGTCAGGAGACAACATCCAAGGTGAAGGTTAAGACTGGAAGTCCTCTGAAAAAACAGAAGTGAACCTTCCTTCATTATTTCCTTTTACTCCATTTAGGTGGCAAGCCTATTGGTTGCTGTCACTCAGACCCAGAGTGGGTCTTGTCTTCAGTAAGTCTCTTCAGCCACACTCAGAACTGTACTGATCTAATTTAGTTGGTCATTTGTTACTCAAGTTGACACAGTTAGCTGTCACAACAGGTTTGATTGATTTGCCAGAGTGAGCTAAAATCTGGTAATTTTCATTGGCCAGGGGCATGGTTTTAAAAGGTATTTCTTCTTTTGATGGACTTGGACTACCAGGTGGTCACAGCCAACTTGTCTGAGAGGCTGTTGTATTTTTATGTATCTGGAAACATTATCCTGTGCGAAGCTTGCCAGTCTTGTGCTTGGTGGGCTAATTGACAGTCAGCTTTGTCCAGGAACTGCTGAGTTACTCTTGCAGCTGGTGTCATCATCTTGACTAAACTTGTGAGAGAGCTACAGGGTGTTCAGTGCTTGAGCTATTGAGAAAGCACAAGAGTAGAATACAAGAAACACATACATGTCGGCTCCCACAGTCATTAGGCTAAATTAGCCCTATATGAACTCTTGGAGAAACATTTCTTAAATGATAGCATGCCTACATGCAGAGCTGAGTGAAATATAACTCAAAGGTTGAGACAGCAAAGGGAACAGGTGCGCTATGAAGATAGAGATGCCAAGCCTTTTATCCCATGTTAGTCCCCATTAGATATCTACAAGCCCAAGTGAAAATAAAGTGTTGTCGGCAAAAGTGGCATTTAGGTCTCAGGGAAATAACCTCGGAAACTGTTCTCATAACCCCTACATCAGAGGTGTTATCTACAGCACCTCCAAAATTAGTGATTTTAGTTGGCCAAGAGCAAGTGAAGCTAGAGGGCATTTCTATTCCACCTTTATGGTTTGATCAGGATCTCATGATGGGTCTTTTGAAGCATTCCATGTCACAAAGGCAAGTTTATTGTGCCCAGGAGTTTATTTTGTCATTCCAAATCTTCTGTCCCACCATCATGGTGCCTAACTGTGTCACTATTATATGACATAAGAAAGGGAAGCAAGAGGCCAGGGATTAGAGTTAGGCATTAGATGTACCCACTGTAGCTCTCCTCATAGTACAAAATAGCTCTCCTCCAAACATCTAAAACTAATGCACTGGGACAAATTTAAGAGATGAAAATATAACATAGATGATACAGTTTCCTGAGAAGTTCATTAAGCTTTATTCAGTCTTTGTGAGTAATGGAAAATTAGTTTTTATTTGCTCAAAGATACTTGAAATTAGAAGCTAGGATGGGTGCTTTCCCATAAACGCTTGATATGTATGTAGTGTATTCTTAAACTTACAAATTAAGAAATTAAGTAGTTTGTTTCAGCTAGCATAGCCTAGTTTAGGAAATGGATGGGTCAAGTTTAGAACCTGATCTTATCTCTGTGGCACTTCATAGATGTTTATAAATTAAAATGAATTAGGATTTTATGGAAATACACTATTTGAGAGTGAGGAAACCTAAGCATACACACCAAAAAGATGGGAAGCATTATGTGTCCTATCCATTTGGTGGGGAGGAGCTAGAATCTCTAGGTCTTCTGGTATCCAACATACTAGGATAGTGACAGATAACATTGAACAAGTGCTTACTATATATACTTTATGTATGCAAATCCATTAAATTCCTATAAAACCCTTATGTGGGTAGCTATTATCATTATAATATTTAGACAGAGAAACTGAATTATACAGATGCTAAGTTCTACAGCTTGTCTAGTAAGAGGCAGATTTAGGATTGAACCCAGGCCTCACACTTTTCAAGTCTGCACTGTTAACCAGTGTACTTCATGCCCTTTGCTAGGACCCATTCAAGAGAAAATGGGAAGAATTTTTCAAGTTTAGTATTTCCTGGTTCCAATCAGTCTTAGAAGACTTCTGCTTGTTTAGTGAAAAAGGAAGTCAAATAGAATATGTTATAAAATTTCACTGGTAAAACATATACATAAAGCATTTTAGAAGACAGTGCAAATAGGAATGTTATGATTCCCAAACAAAAATCATTTCAAGCAAAACTGATATTCTCACAATAAATCCCTTTCAGCTGATAATTATTCATTCCATCTTCATAATTTTAAGAAGTACCATAGAATATTGATCCAGGAATTGAAATAAGAAAGCAGCAAATGGATATGTGAAAATAATCCCACACAGATGGAAATTATACAGCTCAAAACTTCTTGATGAGTCACGCTCTTGGAAAACTGTCTCATTCTTTCCCAGAGTGTGTCAACAGAGGGAAATACAACGTGATGCAGTTTTCATGTTTCAGCTTTAACATCTGCTGCATGGCAGCCCAGTTATGTCCTATCTAAGGAAACATCTATAAATATTGGTAAAGATTTCCTTGTTACTTTTTTCCAGGGTGTTTATCTCTGTATTTATTCTGTTGTCCGCACAGTATCTCTAGATGATCTGGAACTTCAATATTTTCCACATAGTCCTCATTAGGATTCTGACTGAAGCCATCCAGGCGATTTTTGCTGTGAGGTCAATGTGATACGGTTTTCAAAGCCAGGGGCCGTTAGCACTGCTGAGATTGGCCATGGCCTCCTGTGTCACTTTTGCTGTTCCCATGCTGCTGCTCTTGCACAGCAGGGATCACCAGCATCTTAAAAGAGTGTTTGAGAAATTTGTTTAATTATGTTTGTTTGTTTGTTTTTTTCATAAAACCTATAGGAGACTAAAGAGAAAATTTAGAAAAAAAGCTGATTTTTGGTATAGTGTTAATTTTTTTAAAAAATTACAAAGAAGACAGTAAGCAATAGTTGATAACCGAGATGGCTATATAACTAGATTGAGATTTCAGCAAAGTAAATTATTAAGCAGTAAGAATATTACTGAGTGCATGTCTAGCTTGTCACACTAAATATTTTCATTGGAATAAAAGAAAGTTGAGAAATTAAAGACTGAAACTAAAAAGGCAGACCTAGATATTTGGATAGAACCCCCCACATAACTTTAGATATGCATAGCAACAGATTGTTTTATTATTTGTTTGTGTAATTGGCATCATCTGCTATTGAGAATCTTGGAATAGTAGAATCATTTGGGAGGGTCTGTGGAGTACATTACTGGAATTGATTTGGCAGTGTTCACATACTGGTCTTCTTGCTGGTTTGAAATCCTCTGTTTGTTGCTTCTCTTTAGGTGGGACTCTTCCCTGGACATTGTGTTGAGTTAATTAACCAGAAAATTCCCCAGTCAGTGACCAACTCAGTGCCAAAGCCAGGTAAGTATGCTGTCTCATTGGTGTGTTTCTGATGAACTGATCAAAAATGCAGATGTTCTCTTCCAGTTCTCTTCACTTTATTTTGCCCTTCTTTATATTTATTGGTATAATATGCATTCTTAGTTTTATATGGTTTTGATTTTTAAATATCTTATTTCTCTGTTGATCATTTCACAAGGGTTTGTATGCATTCAAATTCTTAGGCAATTTAAAAGAACTGTGTGCTCTGTTAAGCTTTGTTACTATATGCTTTTATAATGAAACAGTTGGAAAATAGTTTATTATTGAATAAATTGACTTAAAGTTTTAAAGAACTAATATGGGAACAGTATGATTAACTAGAAATTAATATTTGAAGGCAATGTATATTTTATCAGTGCCTTTGACCATCAAAACTATTTTAAACAGCATTTCTTGTTACTTCTATTAAAGCAGTATTGCAGAGTATTATATAAGAAAACTGGAATTTTTATATTTATTGGTATGATGTAATCTGGGCAAGATTCTGCAAAATACTTCGTGTAGAAATGTTTGATCTGAAGTAAATTTAAAAAAATAAAACAAAAACTGAAAAAATTTAAAGGGAAGAAGTAATCGAATTTATTTTTCTTAATTCCATTTCTTCTGTCCTTTCCCTCCCTGCAAGTAAAAGGAGAAAAAAAAAAAAATTTGGACCTCAGAATTTGTGTTGCTTTTCCTTACTATATATTTAGGGTATAAGACCTATATATAAGATTGAGGGAGAAAAAAAGTTTATTCTTGCTTATTCAATAGTTTTCCACTTTTGCTCCCAAATGATACACAGGTCAATCCTCTTATAGACAATTTAGGTAAAAGTAGAAGGTAATAACCCTTTTCAAAGTCCATTTCTTCATATAATGTTGGGGAATTGTTCCCATTTCTCTCATAAGAATTTATTTTAGGAAGACTAAATTTATTGCTCTGTAAAGAAAGTACTTTAGGGGCTGGGGATATAGCTCAGCACCACAAGTGCCTGCTTGGCAAGCGCAAAGTACCAAGTTCGATTCCTGCAACCACAAAGAAAAAGAAAGTACTTCAAAACCAAGTTCTTTGCCCTTTTACTTGAGCCAAAGATTCTCAGTTATTTTTAAGGCAATTTTATCCTGACTTGGGTAAACTAGTAAGTTGTTTTTTTTTGTTGTTGTTGTTATTGTTTTTTTAATAAAAAGACTTTCTATATGGGTTTTTGCTTGGTAAGTGTTCATTAGTAATTGTGATGACTGTAGACTTCTTTTCTAAAATATGGCATTAGTCACTTTCAAATTACCACCTTAAATAATTGTGATGTAATTCACATACAATGAAATTCACCCTTTTAAATTACATAATTCTGTGTTTTTTAGTATATTCAGAATTATACAGCTATTATCATGGTAAATTTTAGAACATCTTCATTACTCTAAAAAGAAATCTGGCATTCATTAACAGACATTTCTTCTCATCTGCTTAACCACCACCACCACATGCCCTAAGCAACCAATAAGTTACTTTCTGTCTCCAGTTTTCCCTATTCTGGATATTTTGTATAAGTGCAATGATACATTATATGGTTTTGATGACTAGCTTCTTTCACATATTGACAGTGTTTTTAGGGTTCATCTATGCTATAGAACGTTTCTTTTTTAAAATGTCTGAATGCTGTTCCATTATATGCATATATTGTATTTTATTTGTTCATTTAGGTTGTTTCCATTTTGGGCTGCTATGAACATTTGTGTATATTTTGTGTGAATATATGTTTTAATCTTTCTCAGGTACATGTCTAGGGAGTGGAATTGCTCAATCATATAAGAACTCTAAATTGAACTTTTTGATGAACTGTGATTTGTACCATTTTGTGGTCCCACGTAAAGTGTATGAGAGTTCTAGTTGCTCCATTTTCTTGCCAAAACTTACTTAGCTTTTTTTATTGCCATCTTTGCAGGTGTGAAGTATCTCACTGTGGTTTTAATTTGCATTTCCCTGAGAGGTGTTATTGCTCAACATCTTAGTGTATGTTTGTTGGCAATTTACATATTTTCTTTAGATAAATGTCTATTCAGATTCTTTGCCCATTTTTAATTGGGTTATTTGACTTTTTACCGTTGAGTTATAAGTTTTCCTTATATATTCTAGATGTAAGTTCTTTACCAGATAATAATGATTTACATGTTTTTCCTCCATTTTAGGAGTTGTCTTTCACTTTATTGATGGTATCCACTGAAGCAAAAAAGTTTAATTTTGATAAAATCCTGTTTATTTCTCTTTTGTTGCATATGCATTTGGTGTCTTCTAAGAAGATATTGATTAGCCCAAGTTTATAAAGATTATCTTTAACATTTTCTTCTGAGTTTATAGTTATAGTTTTTTACAAGTTAATTTAAGATCCGTTTTTTAAAACTAATTTTTATGTGTAATGTAAAGGCAGGGGCTCAACGTCGTGGAAATTCAGTCAGTTGTCCCAGCACTATTTGTTGAAAATATAATTTTCCCCCCGCTTAGTGGTGTCGACATCCTTGTAAAAATCAATTGACCTTAGACACATGAGCTGATTTCTGGACTTTCAGTTTTGTTTCATTGATCTATATGTCTGTTCCTATGCCAGTTCCACCCTGTCTTACTTATTGTTGTTTTATATTAAGTTTTGCAATCAGGAAGTATAAATCCTGAACTTTATTCTTCTTTTAATAGGTTAGGTAGGCTTTTTTGAGTCCCTTGTGATTCTGTATGAATTTTAGAATCACCCTGTTAATTTTACAAAAAAGTCAGCTGGGGTTGTGATAAGGGACTAAATATTGTATCTGTGTATAATTTTCAGAAATGTTACCATTTTAACAATATGAAGTCTTCCAATTCCCAAACATGGGATATTTCCCCATTTATTTAGATAATCTTTAATTTCTTTCAGTGTTTACTAATTTATTTTTTATAATAAATTTTTATTAGTGTATGTTTGTAGTACATGATAAATACGTTCAAAACAGGAAATTGACACATGCACATATCACAACTTGATGCTTTTTACTTCCCTTTCCCTTTTCCTTCCTGCCATTTCCTACCATCTAGTTTTGCATCTTTCATTAAATTTATTTTTAAATATTCTGTCTCTTTGATGGTACTATAGATAGAATTGCATTTTTAATTTTATTAATGCTCATTGCAGGTGTGTAGAAATGTTTTTTGTATTGATTTTGTATCCTGAAGCCTTACTGCATGGTTTATTCTGATTGTTTAAAAATGGGTTCCTTGGGATTTTCTGTACACAAAATCATGTTATCAGCAAACAGAGTTCTTCCCTTTCAGTCTAGATACCTTTCATTAATTTTCTCCCTGCCGCATTGCCCTGGTGGGATCCTTAGTATAATGTTGTGTACAACCTCAAGCACAAGCCCCCTTGATTTATGTCTAATATTCAACAAAATCATCTACTGTCTCAGCATTGAATGAGATGTCAGCGGTGGATTTCATAGATGGTCCTTATTATAAATGACTGAAGAAGTGTCCCCTTCTGTTTCCAGTTTGTTGAGCATTCTCATAAAAAGGGTGTTGGATTGTTTTAAAAAGGCAGTAGGTGTATGTGTTGAGATGATAGGTTTTTGTGGTCACTGTTTTTGAAGTGACTAAAATTGTCATCAAAAACTGCAGTTTCTAGTGAACTGTTTTAATCCGTCTTCCTGTAGTATAAACTTAACTTTTATTAATCATCTTTGATAGCATTTACCCAGAGATCTCCTGTAAATCTGCTTTTTTAATGCTTAGTTTTATATTGGCATTCAAAGTGTATCAATTAAATACTTTCTCATGTTACAAAGGGGGAAATGACACTTCTAATAAAAATAACCCCAAAATCATTGTTAATTCTGTATTAGTAACTAGTATAAAAACTTAACACACCTTCAAAAGCTAATGTTTTTTCTTTGATGAGCAGCATTTTAGGGCTGGCACAGGGAAATATGCATTCTTAGTATATTTTTGAAAAGGATGATGTAAATTCAGTCAGCTATGGGCCTGTTTCACACTTTAAAACTGTCTTTGCCTACAGTATAAACAACTTGAATGTTCTATTTATTTTTAACATTGCCATCTGTGACTGTTAGATTGCAGATCTGAAAGATGCAGCTATAGTTTGAGACTAAGAACTTAAACCTCCCCTATACTATTACACAACGAGGGTAATAGGAAAATTTTTCCTTTTAAAGCTGTTCTTTATGTTCTCAATATGTTCAATTATTTGTGTATATGAAAATAAAAATGAGTCACCATATCCTGAGATAGCAAATATCTATGATGCCTTAAAGAAAATAAAAAAAGAGAGAGGAAAGGCAGGTGGAAGACAGAAAGGAGAGAAGAAGCAGCAGCAGCAGATCCATAAGAAATCGTTTAGTTTGTCACCACGGGATATGGTTTGATGGAAGAATGTGAGACTGATGTTGAGAATGGGGAAGAAAGGAAGAGAAAGCAAATGTTTTTCTTTGTATATATTGCTTAGAATTTACAAAGGATCTGTTTATTGATATCTTCCATCAAGTTTTGGGTGTCCTCAGCTCTTATCTCTTCAGATACCTCTTTTTGTGTAGGCATTGCTTTCTTCTTCCTTATACACCAGTTACATTCCTTGATGTTTTCTCATGGATCTTAGGAGATCTCCCCCTACAGACACACCCACACTGACCTACCTTCAAGTTCAATCATTCTTCTGCTATGTATAATCTTCCCTTAAGCCCATGTAATAAATTCTTCAGTTCTTACATCATAGTTCTCATTGCCAGGACCAATGTTTGGTCTTTTTTATAATTTCCATGCTGGCATTCTGCATCTTTTGACACTGTCTACCTTATCTATTAGGAAGAAAGAGGAGGGGGAAGAGGAGAGAAAAGAGAAGTAAGCTTACCTTGGAGGCATGAACTTCTGGAAATTGAAGACTAAGGATTTAAATAGACATTCTCTCTTGAGAACAGTTAGAAAAAATGGACAGAAGTATAGAAAATACTTCTTTTAAG